TGAACGACAAAGAGCACACACAAGAAAAGCGCTCTCTCTCTCTCTCTCTCTCTCTCTCTCTCTCTCTCTCTCTCTCTCTCTCTGTCTCTCTCCCTACCGTTAAGTAAATTGTGCATTGTTTTACTTACTTGTTTTTGACATATCCGACCAAACTACAAACTTTCCAGTGATGTCTGTGAGAAAGGCATATTCACTCGACAAGCTCGTGCATCTGCGCCGCGCGCTCAATTCACTCAGCGCGCTTTGTTTATCAGCTCGCGCACATCAGCTATACAGGCGTTAATACTGAATGTTTAACATTATATTCATTGCATACATATACTTCGTAGACATCCTTAATCTCTAATAACTCCATTCTGCTGTCTGTTGTCTGTGTTTCTTTGTTTGAATATGGTGCTTATCACATGCTGTGTGGTATCGGCGTTTGGTATCGGGGCATTTTAACCAGTACGAGTATGAGTACAGGAGCTCAGTATCGGGCCAAATCGGTATCGGTGCATCCCTAGAGGAAACTCAAGCATACTTCATAATGCATGACAAGAAACAACTGCAACTGAAACAAGAATAACAAATACCAAAATTGGACAAGCTACACTGCAAACAGGAATACATAGACAAAAGAAGACACATACGGTGGCCGAGAGAGCTCAACGCACTGCAAATAAAAAAACACATGCAAATAGAAAAAAAACACCTGCAAATTAAGAAAACATCTTCATCAATTTGACAACACGCACGCTGCAAATACTCACAACACAACCAAATATAGAAATGCACTGCAAATACTCACAAATGCAGAAGTGCGCTGCAAATTCTCACAACACAACCAAATGCAGATACGCGCTGCAAATTCTCACAACACAACCAAATGCAGAAACACGCTGCATATACAGAAACGCGCAAGTATACAGACCACAACAAGCAGGGTTCTACATTCTACATGTGCAAACTGTTTTTGTTTGTGTTGTGAGAATTTGCAGCGCGTTTCTGTATTTGGTTGTGTTGTGAGAAATTGCAGTGCATTTCTGTATTTGCAGTGTGTTTCTTTATTTGCTCGTGTTGTGAGAATTTGCAGCGTGTGTGTGTGTTGTCAAATTGATGAAGATGTTTTCTTAATTTGCAGGTGTTTTTTCATTTGCAGCGCGTTGAGCTCTCTCTGCCACTGTAAACACAAGATAGAAACATTTGCAAGAAAATGAGGGATGAATTGATTGTAATCACAAGACAGAGGCAGAATACATAAACACTTCAATAGGACCAAGTAAACAGATGCTTTTATAATTGAGTTTTGAAGATGACATTTCACAGAGAGGCCAAGGTCAGGGAATTCCGGTATCTAGAGGCTGTGGCGCTTTGTCAAATTTATTGTTCAAGGAGGACAATCTGAACTTCTTAAATGACATACCTAGAGTATAAAACAGTTGTACAGGCTGTTATTTACATGTTATTTCCCAACAATTATCCATAAATTCAGATCCCATTTGTATTAAAACCTGGGTTAACATTCTTATTTACATATTTGAGGTGTCAGTGTCATTGACTGATTAAACACAGCACACAACCTGTTTATATAACGACGTGTTTCGCTCTTGCACAGCACTTGCACTTATTCCTGACTGTACAATCTAATTTGTCCTGAATACATTTTCTCAGACCATGACTGCAAGAAATGTGCTTACCCCTTTTTAAAAAACCAAGTGTGAAACATGCCTTTGCTGGGTTTAAAAAGGCAATAAACTGGGGTTAAATGCAGTGTGAAAAGCACAAATGCTGTTGATGGTTGTTGTGAATGGCCAGCTAACAGGAAAAGGGGGCACAATAGGAGGATGTTGATTCAGTGTTAGCTGTTGGTTGTCAGACGCCGGACCTCCGCGTGGATCAGGCCATTCAGCAACATCTCAATAACTCTCATTATCATTAGACAAATATTCTAATAGCATTATCAAATTCATGCATGTATGTGTGGTGTAGTAAATTTCCATTGGTTAACAGCAGCAAAACAAGGAACTGGTTTTCAATGGTTCTCCTATTCCCTAGTTTACTTCAAATGTTTTTTTTTACTTTGAGACTCTCCAGTGTTTGGAGTAAGCGTGAAAGTTCACCAAACCTCTGGTGCTCTGAGTGTAAAGACCATCGCTGCTTCCTCTGAAATCGCAAGCACATCTGAAGTGAAAACAAGCATCTTTTGAAACTGTTTATTTGACTTGAACGTAATGTGTTTCCCCTGCTTCTCTTCTTTTTGATGTGGGCTGAGACCATTTCCACTATGTTTCCTTATGGTTTGGAAAGATGAGACGTGCTTCCGCCCCAAGTGCTGAGAATCTTTGAGACTTTCCAGAGCTCTCCGGTCCCAGGGGACGGCTTGCGTATTTCTCCTGAAATTTTCATTAAGCCATATATAACTTTGAATCTTGAGGATTGCCAAGGTGGATCAGTATTGACTTGTTTTTGGTCTTAGTCATCAGTAAGAGAAAAGTGTGTTAAGTAATAGAACACATGTCAGAGAATAGAACACATAATAGAGATGTAATTTGTGTATGTTAAAATGACAGCATTCCAAAACCATTAAACAGATGTATGTGTTCTTACCTAAATTTTAATGTATTTTTTTTCTGTTTGTTTTTGTGCCATTGCAGTTTTGATGTGGAAAATGGCCCGTCTGCAAGCTGTAGTCCTTTGGACCCCCAGGCCTCACCAGGTTCTGGCCTGGTTCTGCACACCAACTTTCCCGGCCACAATCAGCGGCGAGAGTCCTTCCTCTACCGCTCAGACAGCGACTATGACCTCTCACCAAAGTCAATGTCTCGAAATTCTTCTATCGCCTCAGAACTGTGAGTAAAGTTGGGTTTTTTTTGTCGTTGTTGTTGCTTTAAATGTGTTAAGAGCTACCTTTTATGTATTGAACCTGTTGAAAACAACATCTTAAACCAGCCTTAAATGGCTTGCTGGTCTTGCCTTCCAAACTGAACTGGTTTGCAGGTCCCTAGAGATGTTATATCAGCCAACACCAGCAAACATTCATAGGTTGGTTTAAGCTTTTTTAAGGAAACAACTGCGTAAACCTGAACACTTTTTTCCTGCACATTGCGTCTGTTAAGGAAGGATATAGTCAGTTCAGTTACTTTACTTTTGTACTTTTTCAAAGAGTAATTACTGAATCATCTTCACTAATGAGTCAAGTTACTAGGAAGCCACTTTAATTTATTTGTCACCACAACTAAATCATCCAGCATCTGGTAATCTGAGGACTTTGAATTGGTTTAATATGCCTCTTTTTTCATCAACACTAGTATTTCTGTTTCCAAACATTTCTGCGGGGTAAAGGTGGAGGCGGGGCTGATTAATGGAGTTGATTTATGCACTGCTGCTCATGGCAGTGAGATTTGCATGCCAGAACGTATCTCAATCAAGGCCTTATTTCCCAAGCCTTCTGGCTGGAATCATATAAGAACGCATTTTCCAGAGCGTTAGATGCCAAATATCTGTTGAACCCTGAGGAATGTGCTGGATTGTTCTTGGGAACCCATTTTTTGGTGCCATTTATGGCCCTGATAGTGAAAGGAACCTCGTCTGACAATTGAGTCTGATGAGTGAAATATTACTGACTGAAACTAGATATTTACCATGAAAAAATGCAAGACGGGAATTTAGCAAGACCGAATAAGAGTTTGCTAAGCCAATCAATAGCTATTTGGTTGTTGGTTAGTGATGTCAGCTGGAAAAGGAAAGTAATTTCAGAAAAAAGAGCCAGTCTTCTTTTCTGGATTATAATTAACCAATGAATCGTTCACAATAAGACCAAGGACATCCATAAAAAAAAAGGCTCAGTTTTGTTTTCATGTTGACTTTAAATGATAGTGTTTGCTTTGTTTGAGTCTCGACCTCTCAAGATGTTAATGTATTCTCACTTGATTACAGGCATGGGGATGACTTGATAGTCACACCTTTTGCTCAGGTAAACACATCAGTGTCATGTTTCTTTAAGGATTGCGTTTCAAATGGACGTGTGCTTGGTTTAACTCACAGTTTTATGTTATTTCTGTCTTTTTCTAGGTTCTAGCAAGCCTTCGAAGTGTCCGAAACAACTTTACTGTCTTGACCAACGTGCAGTGCACATCTAATAAGTGAGTATTATTGTAAACAGAATCTTTACCCAAATAGTCTTAAACCAATAGTCCATTCAAATACACTAAATTCAAATGTTTTTTGTCTCTGGAAAATAGCAGATTTTTAAATGATTGTTCTATGTTCAAAAAATAATAATAAAAAATTGTTTCTGTTGATTGCATACATGTTTGCAAAAACATGTGGGCTTGTCCCACAGTTTAAAAAAAAGATGCACATGCAGTAATGGACTTACAATCAGTGTCTACAGGGCAAGGCATTGTATTGTAATAAAAATGTAAAATGAAAATACTCACTGTATTAGACATTACACCACAAAACTTTATACATGTTTACATGAGACTCGTGTAATAGAATTTCTTTCTAGCCTGAAGAATAAAATCGCGGCAAGTTAAATCCGATCTTTTATCTCCTTTGACAATATAAAACTACCAAACCTTGTCACTTTCACATGATACATGCAATGAAGCCAGAGAAGAATATGATGTAAGTTAACTATCCACAAAATACTGTTTACATGAACCAAACTCCACCAACAGGGATTACGTCAGTAGCACAGACCAAAAGCTTGGGGGGAAAAAGCCAGTTTTCTTAACGCTGCTAAAAGTCTTAAAAGCTCAAATAACACACTTGTATTGTATGAAGTGATTAATATAGGTTAAGCTTTATAAAATGTACATTTATAAAAAAATAGGCTTTATATAATGTAGTAATATTAGTGTTAATTTATATTAAAATATTTATAGTTATTATTATTATTATTGTTATATTTTTTAATAAAAATTAAATATATGTAGACATTTTAATTATTTTTCTTTTTGACAGTCCACTCTGTTGTTTGTAAGAGCAACCACAAGAGGGGAGTCTTTCCAATCATTTGTTTTATGGACTCGGCCACCCATGCACACTGACATTTCACTAGAGCCATTTTCCACTTAACATGTCACAGTTTTCAAGATTTCAAACCCCAGCCAAAAATCATTTGCCTATGGAGAAGATTTCCACATGCCCCAAAATAAAATTTTTCCACCTGAGCAATGAGGGTAAATGGGGAAATACTTGCTGTTATTCATGGAAGAACTATTTCGCCCTTCCAAATAACCATAAATCTACGTCAGGGCAATTATACCGCACTGTTAGAAGCTTTTGTTGGGCTCTTCACTAGTCTGTCCGGCAACCCAGTTCAGATGAACTTGCAGGGAAATTCTACGGAAGTATGTGCAGAAAAGAGGACACACCCTGTGATATCATAATAATATGTCTGTATTAAAGGGCAGTGTCACATCAAATCCATGATGCACTTAAGAAAAAATATATATTGCAAAATGCACAGGCTTGAAAATAGCTTCTTTCATTCTTCTTTAATGTGGAAATATGCTCTGTGCTTTGGCATTATACATCCTGTTACAGTTATAGATGACGCAAAAGAATGGCACACAGAAGTGTTTGAATTGCAGGGGTTTTCTGCTTGTGTCATAATTGTTTGTTTGTATTTATTCAGCTGCATTTTCAGTAATTCTTCAACATTTCCTTTAGCAGGAGGTCCCCTGTGTCCAACCAGCCCCCCATCACCAGAGTGTGCCTACCTGGTAAGTCCTATAACTTCACACCTGTATAAATGTATTGAAAATGGGGTCCAATCAATCAACAATTACCCTCGCACACCTGTAGGTGATCAATAGGTGGATAGGATAAAAGACCAAAAACAGGTCAAACATCAAAACAAAAAAGAATGAATCCTGCACACTATCCCTACATGCAAATGTATCAAAAATAGATTTATTCACAATGTTTCAGTCCTATGACCTTCATCAGTGTCGTGTATGCCTGATGAAGGTCATAGGACCGAAACGCTGTGAATAAATCTATTTTTAATACATTTGCAAGTAGGGAAAGTGTGCTGGATTTATTCCTTTTTCCTTTGAAAATGGGGTCCAAAAATCTTAGACCACTAGTGAAAATCTGTATATTTGGCATTTTTCCGATTTTTTTTAAAATTACAAATGATATTAACAGCAAACTGATTTAAAGGAATAGTCTGCCCAAAAATGAAAATTTAAATATACCATCAGGCCATTTAAGTTTTAGATGAGTTTGTTTCTTCATCGGAACAGATTTGGAGAAATTTAACATTACATAACTTGCTCACCAATGGATCCTCTGCAGTGAATGGGTGCCATCAGAATGAGAGTCCAAACAGCTGATAATATAATCCACAAGAATCAAGTCCATCAAGTAACATCGTTTGAAGTGAAAATCTGCGTGAAAGACATAAATACATCACTTTTTTAACTTCAAACTGTTGCTATGATATAAAATACTAGTCCTCTATCCTTAATATTGCTTTTTCTTGTTTAAAAAGTTGTAAAAAGTTCATCTGAATCAGGAAAACATTATGCACAGATCAAGCACTGTTTACTGAAATCCTAGGTATTCAGTATTTACTCTTTAGATTAAAGGCATTTCCCATGCTTTTAAATTAACTACATCTTAAAGATCATGTGTTTGTGTTTGTGTGTGTGCCTGTAAACATGTGTTTTGCTGTGCTGTGTTTTTAAGTATATTTTTAATGATAGAGAGACCTCTTGCCATGCTACGTGACTGCCCACGCCGTTGCCCTCTTGTATCCCTCATCATCACTCATCTCTACAGCAGCTTCTGCTGATTGGCCCGGCAGTGTTGAAATGTTTAGTAGACTCACATACACACACATTCAAGCATGGTGCCCATATTAGTGGCTGTTTTGTCTAGTTGCACAAAACGTGTTAGACTATAGGAAAAGGCCATGGCTGCTACTTGTTGGTCTCTCACATGCATGCACACCTGCCAAATATAATAACACAATGAACAACAGGCCTACCTCAGCAGAAGGCTTTGTATAACGGGTGGGAAAATTCCTCATAGTTCACTCTCTGTCCTTGAGGATGGCTCCCAATGTAATATCAGAGAACACGCCAGACAGAGATTTCAGAAAAACTGTAATCTATGCTAACTAAACAGAACAAGGCCATTCACTGGAGCCTCTATTATACAGCCCAAACTGTTTTCTTAGAAATGTCAAGAAAACCTTTTTGGTTGTTCTAAGGTCATTTCTGAAGAATAATAAGAAAGAGAGTGTTCACGTTTAGAGGAGAAATAGAAAAAAGAGTGTTCATAAAAATGCAATCTTCAGCAGGTTTTGTTTAATGAAAAGCAAGAATATTTTGTAATTGACTGTATTCTTGTAACACAACCTTATGTATTAACTCAAAAGCTATGAAACAAAATTAGCTTGGACAAAAGTTTGTGTAAGAGTACTGTACACTGTAATTTTGTCTTGTTTTTCTGTAAAATATCTAAACATTCTTAAATCAGGATACCCCACTTACCCCATTGAAATGTATTTTTTCTTGTTTAAGTATAACATTGTACTGTAAAACAAATAAATATTTGAAAAGAAAATATTTTTGCAGTGAAAAAAAGTAATAAGATTAGTAATAAGTCCTGATCACATTTTCTCTCCGCAAATGATTCCCTTTGTCCTCTCTACTATCTGTATAAATAAAAAATGGCAAAAGCCCCAAAATAAAACATGTTTACGAACTTCAGAAAGCATTTTGGGGGACATTTGTGTCATAGAAAGAAAAATATGCTCGAAAATGTATAGAAAAGGTCAAATTGTTAGTACAAAGACTATAGATTGCTGGTATTTGACCTGTACAGTCTGGTTTGGTGGTTGTAATTAGGATGCTGCATTCACAGTTGAAACAATATTTTTCTAGGAAAGATGGAAAAATCTAATAGAGTGGAAGAGAGGGGATATAGAATATTGTCTCTGTGTGTATTTCATTTATGTTCTTGTTCCAGTAGGAAAAAGTATAAAGGGGACATGAGTTCAGCTCCATGTAACACTGAGTAGATTCAGTAAAAGGCTGAAAATGCACTTGTAACATCAATAATGAACGTGAATAATCAGGCCATACTGCATTAAGTCTGGCCTACAGCAAAAGGTACCAGGTCTTCGGTGCGTAATGCAGAAGAAAAGTAGTAAGTGGCATTCTACTGAAGCTAAGATCATGAGAAATGCAGTCAGTAGGAGTTCCTGTCAGGTGCGGTGGGTTGTGATTGACGTCAGTCAGCTTGAATGCGGCTTTGTTGACTTCCTCTTAAGCCAGGTGGACTGATATTCACTTCCTGATTCTCTTCAGGCTTGATCGGTCTCTGATAAGTGCCTGCTATTATGCTGCCAGTTGAGTGAAATGTCATACATACTCACCTCATACATACTTTTTAATTATGTTGAAAATATGCATTAGTCATGCAGAATTCATGCACTTGTTTACAACATAAATGGCCCATAATTTTGGAGAGGTTTTTCATGACTCCTTAAAGTCCAATAGGATATCCAATAGGAATTATAAGCTCCTGTGGGTTAATGCAGTGTAAATTATTCTGGGTCTAATCTACTTTCAATCACATTTTTGTGATGAATGATAAGAATTAAAGACTGCTGTCATTGTTTTCTTTTCAGATTAGTCCCTTTATCTCTGTTTAAAAAAAAAGCCCTGCCATTGCAAAAGCATAGATACTTTCTCTTTTCCAAAATGTAGTGCGCTGCCTACAGAGGCAATATTTTACGGAATCAAAATTGCTTATGATGTGGAGGTTGTTCTAAATTATGCTTCTTCCTAAAACACCTTGTTTAGCCAAATTCAAAGGCAGCCCCATATGTATTTTTAACAGATAAGGCAATCCTGAAATGCATTGTAATGAGCAAAGTAAAAAAAGAAAAGAAACTTGACTCAATACCAGAAAGTAGTGAATAACAAAAATTACTTTTTTTGTTGTTGTTTTTTTTGCTAAAAGTGCTGTCAATGTTTTTATCGTTTATCATATATTTCATCAGCTGATAAAAATTGCTCTGAAACTGATTCCAACAATAACGTTCCATTGTGTCATTATTAGTATAGCCTTGGTGAGGACTTCCCTATTCACATATAATTAATATGATACTAAAAACAGGTCAAACATCAAAACAAAAAAGAATGAATCCTGCACACTATCCCTACATGCAAATGTATCAAAAATAGATTTATTCACAATGTTTCAGTCCTATGACCTTCATCAGTGTCGTGTATGCCTGATGAAGGTCATAGGACCGAAACGCTGTGAATAAATCTATTTTTAATACATTTGCAAGTAGGGAAAGTGTGCTGGATTTATTCCTTTTTCCTTTGAAAATGGGGTCCAAAAATCTTAGACCACTAGTGAAAATCTGTATATTTGGCATTTTTCCGATTTTTTTAAAATTACAAATGATATTAACAGCAAACTGATTTAAAGGAATAGTCTGCCCAAAAATGAAAATTTAAATATACCATCAGGCCATTTAAGTTTTAGATGAGTTTGTTTCTTCATCGGAACAGATTTGGAGAAATTTAACATTACATAACTTGCTCACCAATGGATCCTCTGCAGTGAATGGGTGCCATCAGAATGAGAGTCCAAACAGCTGATAATATAATCCACAAGAATCCAGTCCATCAAGTAACATCGTTTGAAGTGAAAATCTGCGTGAAAGACATAAATACATCACTTTTTTAACTTCAAACTGTTGCTATGATATAAAATACTAGTCCTCTATCCTTAATATTGCTTTTTCTTGTTTAAAAAGTTGTAAAAAGTTCATCTGAATCAGGAAAACATTATGCACAGATCAAGCACTGTTTACTGAAATCCTAGGTATTCAGTATTTACTCTTTAGATTAAAGGCATTTCCCATGCTTTTAAATTAACTACATCTTAAAGATCATGTGTTTGTGTTTGTGTGTGTGCCTGTAAACATGTGTTTTGCTGTGCTGTGTTTTTAAGTATATTTTTAATGATAGAGAGACCTCTTGCCATGCTACGTGACTGCCCACGCCGTTGCCCTCTTGTATCCCTCATCATCACTCATCTCTACAGCAGCTTCTGCTGATTGGCCCGGCAGTGTTGAAATGTTTAGTAGACTCACATACACACACATTCAAGCATGGTGCCCATATTAGTGGCTGTTTTGTCTAGTTGCACAAAACGTGTTAGACTATAGGAAAAGGCCATGGCTGCTACTTGTTGGTCTCTCACATGCATGCACACCTGCCAAATATAATAACACAATGAACAACAGGCCTACCTCAGCAGAAGGCTTTGTATAACGGGTGGGAAAATTCCTCATAGTTCACTCTCTGTCCTTGAGGATGGCTCCCAATGTAATATCAGAGAACACGCCAGACAGAGATTTCAGAAAAACTGTAATCTATGCTAACTAAACAGAACAAGGCCATTCACTGGAGCCTCTATTATACAGCCCAAACTGTTTTCTTAGAAATGTCAAGAAAACCTTTTTGGTTGTTCTAAGGTCATTTCTGAAGAATAATAAGAAAGAGAGTGTTCACGTTTAGAGGAGAAATAGAAAAAAGAGTGTTCATAAAAATGCAATCTTCAGCAGGTTTTGTTTAATGAAAAGCAAGAATATTTTGTAATTGACTGTATTCTTGTAACACAACCTTATGTATTAACTCAAAAGCTATGAAACAAAATTAGCTTGGACAAAAGTTTGTGTAAGAGTACT